AATGAGAACTGGAGCCCTTGTATGTGTCAACATACTTGATTCTGATATCATATCCTACATCATTATTAACATTTCCAATCTATCGTAAACAGAAATAATTGTATTGTATAACTAATTATATTCCTATCAACACTGCTGTGAGAAAGATTCATAGATGTAAACCACATTCTTCAAGTGTATTATTGCTCCACAGAGAAATAAATTAAATGATGTCATTGCAAGGTGCTGTGAAAAATTAGACAATAATAACTGTTTATTGATAGAGCTTTAGGCTGCAATATGCTTACAGCTCTTTTTTTCCAGTGCAACATGTTAACAGGCTGGTAAATAATTCCACTCCGCTGTATTTCTACCAGCTCACACTGAGACACACAGAAAAAACTCACATGTGCAATAATGTTACAAAATGAAGGATTATATTCACTGTGTCATGTCAGTCTGTTTTTTAAGTATCATATTGCATTTATTAGTTTCTTTGTGTTCTGTATATGCATGGCACATACACAGAAAGTCATATGGGCTCATATATGTGACGTGTGAGTATGTGTCATCTCCAGGATACCGGTATAAATTTGTGCGACGCAAATGTGATGCAATGCAGGATTGTGCTGTGTGTGTGTATTTTTTGTCTCTGTGTGTACATGCATAAAACATATATCACAGGAGAGAAGACCCCCCGAGGAAGAGTGGAGTAACTCGCCTGCCACGAGTCCCAAGGACAGAACGCAGATGATGATGGCACCATCACATTTAATGGGCTTACAGGAGAGGGTGGGTGAGAGGAGAAGAAGAGAGGACAGGAGGAGCTGCTGGGGGAGGAGGCGAGACCGTGAGGCTAAGCAAAGGGGACCCTCAAGACAAACAGGCTTAATTGGGGCAATTGCTCTCCTCCACTTCACAGTCTGTAATATAGCTGATTTGAATTATGATCTCAATATGTCCCTGAGAAGCCTGGCTCCATGATTCCCCTCTCCTTCTCAGACCCCTCCCCACTCAACATGATCCACTTCTAAAACCCTTACATCAAACTTTTTTACCTTCACACCCTTTCAGTTTTGCTGCTTGGGACGCTGATGCCTAGCCAGCTTCTCCTCCTCCACCTCCTCTTCCTCCTCTTCCCCCTCTGCCTCTTTCACACTCTCCCACCCTTCCTCCATCCCTCCCGGTATCCGTAGTGATTGGAGGCAGGGTTCTGAGGTTGCTAGGAGACGGGGAGAGTGTGGCAGCCCGGCCTCAGTGTGAGAGAGAGAGAGTTATGTGGTAGCTGTGAGGGACATTAGGAGAGAGCGCCCCCTGCTGGCCACTGTTGGCCATTGATACCTACAGTACTGTGCTCTCATGTTTGGTGAACACACAAAAGTGACTAAATACGTGTTTGTGTGTTTATGCGGGACAGCTGCAGTGAATGTTGTTATGCAACTTTATCACCAGATTTGGTAAATATCACATGTTCAATGGGAACAATCACTCTAATGGTGATGAAGAGATGGAATACTGATTATGTAGCACTCATGTATCTTTGAGGAGAATACATCTTTGCATCATCCGATTATGTTAATGTCATAGATTTAGAGTTAGAGCTGTTGCAAGTGTATTTCAACTGGTCTGCGTCATATGCTCTTTGATCTAGAAGAGTTTCACTGAGATTGTACGAGGGGCAGCACACCTAGTCGCAATCAAAGTTCAAGATCTCATTTCTCCGTGTCCTCAGAATTATGTTTTCAACCATGCATTATCAAAGCTGGGTCCATTCTCCTGATATAATACTTAATGTCCGTGGGACACTAATTGTGATATTGTAGAACACTCCAATGAAAAAGGATCAAAGACTGGGAAATTGTACCAAAGCATAACTTTAGAAGCATACACTTCAAAGGGATTGATGAATTGGGATTTCAGACAAAATAATATGAGGGCTATTTTTCTTCCCATTCAGCTACTGCTGTAATGCAAGGCCAGCTTCTGAGCATCGCGGCTGCGTGTTTGCTGTATGACTCTGACTCCATGTGGTCATCAAGGAAACTGCAAATCACTGCTGCTTTGTCATTGATTGATGCTGTGTGAAGTGGATGCAGCAGCATGCTAATGTTGGCCAATTCTAGTATTTTGTTTTGAGTGTTTTATATTTTTCTTAGCACATCCAGTTTACCCACTGTTTTAAAAAATCAAAGCCAATTAAATTCAACGAACAAGAGCCATAGATAATTACTACATTGTACATTTTATATAAGTAGAAGTATTTTCACATACGTATGCATGTGCATATTTTTACACACACACATTAAAAAACTCTGGTATGTGACCTGTTGTATGGGATATTTGGTGTTATTAGCCAATATAATACACAGTATATTTTAGGTGCCATTTGTCCCCCCTGTAGTGAGTTTTCTACTGTGAGAACAAGTGAGTCTTGTTATCTAGCACCAGCACTCAAAATTGAGCCATTATGGGTTGTTATATCCACAGGCATAATCAGAAAGAACCTTCTAACTAGCCTCACACCTTCACATAGAAATGGTACTTAAGAGTGAATTGTATTCATGGTGAGCAGTGAGCACACTGTGCAGGCACTTATGCACTGTTTCTCTCTCGATGCACTGTTCCTCTCTCGATGCACTGTTCCAGCTGAGTCTTAGTTGGCCATTCACTCACTTGAGTAACATTTAACTTGCCTGTGTCTCAGGTCCGCAGACCTTCACTAGAAATCCAGACATTCAACACATCAAAATTAATTCTATGCAAATGTTTGTGCTGATGCAAAATGTCCTCGTTTAGTTTTGGCGTTTCAAGGGCAGTGCATTTCAGGTTTTGTTTGAGGGCTTACGTATTCACTTTAGCTGCTATCTGATTTGCTCAGATTTCTGTAAAAGTAGGTGTTGTCAAAATGGAAATGCAGACTGTTCTCGAGCAACAGCTCTCGTGTATATTCACTAGTTTACCTACTGTAGCTGGGTTGTGTTGGACTTTGCAAATGTGAAAGTCTTATACATAATGTAGTCAACATTTATTCCAGGATTGGTAACATTTTAGCTATTCCTGTAAGCAGATACTGTGCTGCAGAGGACACAAGTATATCAGCCATTAACTACACAATGTGTCTGTAGCCTTGAGATGTTTCCTATCATTCAAATACAGTCAAATAGAAATGAAGTTCTCATATTTTATCATCATTTTAAATGGAAACCATGAGCAATGGATGCAGAAAAACACAACCAACGTGGGCACTATTTAACTTGTCTGCACACAGACGATCCTTTTGAGGCATACAATATTGGTTTTCATCAGTACAATATTTATAAATACATTAATTATTTAAATGGCAGATTTAAAGGCTCTCATATTTTAACTGTCTGTCTCAAGGGTGGCTTTAGGCTTGTACCAATACAATTAAAAAACAAAACATATCAGCGCATTAAAATAAATATAGAGATATGGGCAGATTTGAACATGCAGTTGGTGGTTGCAATGGTGCATTACTCTGTAAAAAGTATCAAACGTTGGCAACACAATAAAAGAGAAAGGATGGTTCTGCAGGACTCTCTCTCTCCCTCTCTGTGTGTAGATGACTGTGTGTGGTAAGAAAGATGTGGAGAGCATTAAGTGTGTTCAAAACTAGTTGCTTTCTTTACAACTGTGTGCTTTGAGTCTCCTCTTTGGAAGATTTTGTGACCTTGTCCGTGATGGAGAGAGTCTGTGTGTATCCCAGCAGGCGTTCCTGTTGATTGGATAGGCCTGGCTGGCTAACTTGCTGGCTCAGAGTATCAGTGCCCTTTATCTCGCCTCTCAGCTCTTTCACTTTCGACTTAGTGGCAATACAAGTACACAACCGCATGTAAGTGATTTGTGCTTGAAGATTCCTACAAGCAAACATGAGTGTCTGCATGAAATCGCACATGTAAAAAGCAAGTGTAGATACGTAGCCTGAAAATTATCCACAGTTAAGGCTCTGTGATGCAGTTGCTATGGCAACTATGATAGAAATAGACGTGTATCTGCAAGGGAATGAAATGTATTGAACTGTTGTTTAGAAACTGAGAGAGATTTTATTCTTATGATTGACAAGTTAAGTGAGTGACTGCATAAGGACGTGAATGCTTGTGTTAGCGTGTGCGTTTCAGGGTCTTTGTGATTGTGAGTATGTGTGTCTTTGTATGTATGTCAGGGTGAATGAATGAATGAATGTGTATGTGTGTGTGTGTGTGTGTGTGAGGGAGAGCGTGTGCATATGACACACAGCAGTACATTAAAAGTGCAGCACCATGGATGGGGGGCATAGGGCACATCATTATGATGGTAGCAGAGTGTGAGTGGGTCTGCACTGCACTCACTGGCCCTGTGTGAGAGCAGATAAGCTCAGGCAGAGACAGTAAATTTAATGGGAAAAAGATTCTGTTTGAGGCACCTCTATTGTTGTTCTGGCCATGATGATGTTCTGAGCGTGTCGTGTCAAACATTAATCAATGGCTAGATATTATTGTAATGATTTAAGTGGTTTTCTTTGTGTAAAAAAATCACAATATAGCTAGATTGTGTGTACAATGGGTCCACGTTCCAGCATTAAGAAACCATAATAAACTTAACAACCCTCATCCATGGCGCTGCAATCTTCCTCTAATGCTGGCGCACCTATTTGCTCACAAATTGTCTTTTATCTGTTATTGACTTATTCATTTCAGACATAACCTACCATTCCATTCAAGCCTGACTCCTCTCCATATTGCCTTTGTACCTCTGGTGCCTTCATTAGGCTCCCCTGGTTCATTTTCAGTGGAGATGAAAAAAGAACAAAGGAGCTGTGATAAAACGTTAAGCCCAGACATGCAAAAAATGCATTTGCAATACTATTATAATCTTAGATTTTATGGTAGAAATATGTGGAAATCAGTGAAATAGCAAAAGCCTCAGAGAGGGAGGGGAGTTGGAGGGATGTGATGGAGAGAGATGAGGGAGGGGGTGCAGGAATATGAGTGTGTATGCATTTTCAAGGCGGTCTTTCTGTTGCAAGAAAAAAAACAGTAGTCTAACAGGAAAACGAATAGGTCGAGCTACTGATGAAGGCATGCAAATGCAATTTAGTGACGGAAACTGACGTTTGAGATCTTCATGTGTTAGTGGGGGCTTGTGAGATGGCAATGTGTTTAATTTTAGTTCGAGATAGGTGGAATCACCTAAGCGGTGTGTGAAAGAGGGAGAGAGAGGCGAGGGAACAAGAGGGGAGGGGGCGGGGGTGTATGGACCTCACTGGTTACGGGACCTACAGGCACCCCGATTGTGCTCTGCTCTCATCATTTTTGGAGGTGAGGACAAAAGAAAAAAGGGGAAATCGGAAGAAAGGCCCGGGATCTGAGTGTCGTGACGGGCCCCCCGACTTCGCCGCCGCTGGTCGGGGTTGTCTGGACTCAAAAGGGTGAGGGAAAAGCGGCGGAGCAGTCGACTCTAGACTGGGGTTTCCTGCCACAGCAGCGGGATTGTCACAAAACAGCCTTTCAGTCTTCGAGGGGCCTTGTATTGCTACGTTTTCAGGTATGCATTTACAGTATGTTAGCTAGCCTGTCTGTGACTGACTTGCCTCTCCCCGGTTAGCTCTGTTTATTCAGGGGAAATGTCAGCCTGCGTGATGCTAATTTTCTGATGCAGTACCCACAGCAGCTCTCCTGCCAGTCTACGTTATTTATGCTAGCTAACCCATTTACTCACAGCCCCAGTGAATTTGTGAGGGGGGAAACATCTGCACCTAATCACCTCTCTGTTGTAGCTGAACGCTGCCTGGCTGCTGGTGCCTTTAGCCTGCTGTAACTATCGCTTTGTGCACGTCCTCAAACGCTAGGAATAACGTAATAAACGCAAATTAGCTAGCTTGCTACGATGCTAAGTAGTGGGTTGTAGCTTAGCTAGCTCCCAACATGAGTGGCTAGCTCGCATATTTAATGTGCAGTATGTGAGGTATTTTAGCTAACGCTAACCCTACAAAGCTACAAGAGGCAGCACTACAAAGCTAATTGGATTGCGTATACCTTGCTATGGGCTAATGTAGCCACTAAGGCTGTGTTACAAAAGCCAGTGTTGTGTTGATGGCAATCTGAGGCGACAAACAGTCCAAATATAACAGAGCTGGCGTTTCATTATTATCTGCAAAGAACATTGCGTATGATCTTATCAATTAGGCAGCTGTGCAATTGATTGACTTGCTGACAGACTGCATTGAGCCAGTTTGTATTAATGCTGCACTGTTCTGTGTATTGTGAATGCTGCTGCCTGGTCGTGCTCAGTGAGCTGCTGTGATTAATTAGTAATCAAGATATGGACTCATGGACGGATGGAGATCAATAGTGTCCTAACTTTACCAATCTTACACTGCATCACCCCACTAGCTTTGACCCTTAAATATGACACTTGACACAGACCTGTGTGCTTTATGTTTGACTCAATTTAGTTTATGTCCAGTTTGTTTTGTAGCCCTCCTGAGCTTGTTTTTTTCCTCGCCGTGGTTAAAAACAATACATTACATTGGTGAAGGTAGGTTCACACTAATGGTACAGTTGACAGACACCAGTCATGCTAATAGTTGGAATCATAAACAGTGAAGGTGTGTGGTTGTGTGGCTCAGAGTGAGTCTATGCGACCACAACAAAAGTCACCCAAAGTTGTGTTAGGGCCATTAACCATTTTATAGTGTATTTGAGGCAGACAGTAGAGGCTTGTGTCACACGTGGCACTTATGGGTACTGACCCCATAAAGGTGGCGTCATTCCTGTAATTATTGCCTATAATAATAATAAAACCCATTAAAACAAGTAGAATGCTCTAAAGTTAATGGCCCTAAGTCTCATTGTAAAGAGTTGGGAGATGGACCGCTTCTGTTTTGGCTCCACGAGGTTGTTTGTTTACATATGAGGTAGCGCTTGTGACCTTGTCTATGTTACTTTGTTGCCTTAATTGCATGCTGCCGCTAACCCACTTTTCTCTCCACCAACCCTGTTTGTTATCAGTCAGAAGAGACAGCTCAGGCATGTATTGTTAAAGCTCCAACCACAATAAAGGCTGTACTCTTAGTGCATGTTAAAAAAGGACTGTTGATATGAGGCCAGCAAGCCTTTTAAGCAGTGAAGTAAGGAGCTGAATGAATAGTATATGCAACAAGGAAGTAATGTTAACATTATTGTTTGTTTGGTGGATCTATTTGTGTTGACCTGTGTGATTATTGCTGTGGACCACGAAAAAAAAATCCACTTATGGACAGTGCCAGTACAATGCCAGTACAATCTGTAATATGTGATCCCAGATCAGTTAAAAAAAGCCTAAACAAAGGCTCAAAGCTAGTTTAATTCATTTTGTTTGGAGTTGGATTGGTAAATGGTCGTAATTTAACACTTAATTGGTGAAATAAAATTGAAAATAATCCAAATAGGCTTTTTAATATTATTTTACAACCACAGTGCCTTTCTCTTTATAATCAATTAATTAGAAAAATTTCAGCAATTTAGCAATTTATGGTAAATCTATGATACTTCTTCATTTTTGCATGCTAACTTTTTTGATTCATCTTTTGTATTTGCAGAGTTGTGAAGGCTTCTGGTCAGCGGCTCCTGGAAAATGAACTTATCTGCACGGAAATACTGAAGAGAAACAGAAAAGGGGAGCTTGAATTGACTGAACTTGAAGTGGAATAAATGGATTACCCTCCTTTGGAAAATTGTTGCCATGGAACTAGGTAGAATTAAATGATGGTTGACAGAAAAAAACAAAGGTAAGAAACTACATGCTGAAGATACAGGAGAGCACCAAGAAGAACCTGAACACAGAGTCAAAGAAAGAACAATTACTAAGTAGGGACCAAAGACTTCTACAGTCCGAAGGAATGCATGCCGTAGCAAAAAACTAAAAAAAGCAAACAGTATTTGAAAGGGAATGACCAAGAAAAAAACATCTCAAAAAGTATTACACTCTACATCCAAGAGCCGATGAGAATATCAATGGAGTGTGTGCCTCTGGGAATGTTTAGCGAGGGTCTGTATTCAGACCTCTTGATTCGAGTTACTGCAGCTTTGGTCTCTCACAGGTGTGAGTCTGGTCCCAGCAAACCTACGCATGTTGACGAACTGAAGGATTGCTGTGACAGAACACAGTCTCAATGGTTTTATTGAGGATTTTTATTTTATTTTTTGCACAAGAGGCTTTTGGATCACAACATAATTTAATCCTAACATAGCTCTGTTTGCTTGAGCGGAGTGTATACATGTAAAGACATTTGAGGTTGAACATCTCACATAAGTGGTGCGTCAGTCGTCCATGATATCATTGCCTGCTCAGTGCCAAACCGCTTCATGGAAATGACTGCACACTTTTAGTCTTGTATTTTTCGGCAGTACAAACCTGCTTCACTACATATCTATCTGTTGTTTTTTTTTCTTTTTAAAAAATTCCATTTTTTAAGAGCCAGCTGTTTAAGTGAACCCTTTTTTAAAAAAAGTGATAGCAACCATACTATCATCCCATTGAAGAAGTAAGATTTTCACCATTTGGCCTTTTCATATATTTATAAAATCATCATCCGTTAAACCTCCCTTTCTGCTTTCTGCTACAAAAAAGTGATTATAACATCTGCGATATATATTCCTCAGCTTGAACTCTTTGGTGGATTTCAAAAGCATTTCCTTGTTTTACTGCCAGGCCATAGACTCTCTTTTTGTCATTTATGGTTACTGCCGTAAGCCTTCCAGTTTCTGATCAGCAGCATTCCCTGGTATAGACACTGACAGATATTTCCGTTTTTAATCCAAACTTGGAAAAACAATGCAGAATTTTTCTAACAGTCCAGCTCCCCCCTCTCTCCCCTCTCTCCCCCCGGGGTTCAGTGGGAGGGGTGGAGGAGGACCTCCGTATCCCCCTCAGCCAGCAGATCCCCAGATCTCCCCAAGGATGACAGATGATTACGCAGGGATGCAACAGCAGAGCCTGCACAGAGGCCATCACCACCCCACCCAAGCTAGCCACATGCTTGCTTACAGTGCTAGAAACAGAGGAGCTGTGGAGCCACCGCCAACACAGGGTAACATTCACAGTGGCAACACTACCAACCCTTACAGGAAGGACGTCATGGATTATTATTTTTCAATGAGTGGAAAGGACAGACACAGAAGGGGGGGCATGGGTTATGGGGCAGGCTTTGGGTACCCTAATATTGATGGACATATACCTCACCAGTACCGGCATGCTGGATCTGGCTCTGCACCATCATCTGGCCTGATGTCACCATATCCAGTAGACTATGGCTCCAGTGCTGGGTCAGGTGGAGGTGCTGCTGGTGCTGGAGCGTTCTCTCCTTCTCATCAGTACAATATGAGTCAGAATCCTGCAATGCAGTCAGTGCCAGGTTCTCAAATGCAGCACCGCCAGCATGGGCAAACCTTCCCAGCTGTCCACCATGGACAGCAGCATAGGAGCTATCCCCACTCTGGGCACAGAATGACCCCTCAGTACCCACACTACTCCCCACAGGGTGGAGCATCCACAGGGTCATCAGGAATGTACAGCCCCCCTCCGCAGAGATATCTCGACGGGGCTGCTGGCACTGGGTTCGATCCCAAAGTCAACAGTTCTCCCAGTGTCAACTCCAGTTCAAACTCAGTCTCCAGTTCAGTTGCTGCTAACAATGTGGGGCCAATGGAGAATGTTCAACAGAGTTACCATGCTTCAAATTATCCTGGATATTCTCCACAGGCGCATTCACTTCACAAGCAAGCCACACTACAGCACCGCAACTCACAGCACAATTTAGGAGTAGGTTATGACAACTCTCTCAAGATGCAGCACCAGGGCCCGTCTCCAGGCTCTGTATATGCTAAACATCACCAAGCCTCCAATCCCAGTATACCTCAAGCAGCATCTCAAGAAATAGCCAAATCACCAATGCATCCCAATGCTCAACAAACCCAAATTAACCAAAACTTTAGCCCGATATCCAACCCCTCTCCAGCTGCGTCTGCAGTGCATTCCCCCAGTTGTAGCTCCTCTCCTTCCCCTTTGATGGGTGTCTCGGAGGCACATGGAAACCCCTCAGGTCATGGTCCTTCACATCCTCCTACATCAAACCCCCGTAGCAGCCATGGTCAGGGTAGATTACTGCAGACCATGCCTCAGTTAAGTCCCACACCCAACTCAAATAGCAGCATCAGTAGTTGTGGTAGCAGTGGCAGTCATAAAGCTCACAGCATGAGTGCAGTTGGAGGGAGCAGTCTTCCTCCAACAGGCCGCAACAAAATTGGGCTTGTCACAGGAATTGGATCTCGAGAGGAGGGCTCCTCTGTTTATTCATCTTCTCCGCTTGACAAAATGCAGGACGCTGGCCTGAACAGTCTTAATGCCTTGAGCTCACAAGTAGCCAATTTACCAAACACAGTTCAGCACATGCTCCTCACTGACACAGTGCTTTCACAGAAGAAGGGGAAAGATGGGGGGCAGATGCAACAAGCGACACATGGCGTGCCCCCAACACAACCAAGGAGTCGAAATGCAAGTGCAGCCTCAAGTACTAGCACGGTAAAGGATGGGAGTGCGGTGGGGATTGGTGATGGTGCCAGCTTAGATGCTGGTGCTGATGAAGACTCCTTGTTGATGTCAGTTGGAGGCTCATCAGGGACCAAGGTGGAGCGTGAGGAGCAGTTTTCTGAGGGGGAACATGGGAGGGTGAGGCAGATGAGTGGCGCGAGCAGCGGATCTGAACCAACTGGCTATCACCCACCGTCTCAGAGTCAAACACAAACTGGACAAGCATCAAATGTTAAAACAGTCACCTCTGATTCATCGTCAAAAGAACCAGTTGCTTCTGAAACAAAAGCAAGTGAAGCTCATGTTCCCTCTTCATCATCATCTCCATCCTTTGGATGTCAGTCGTCAGAGACTGGCCCAACTTCACATTCAACACCTCCAGTTTCCTCATCCCCGTCATCCACCTCCTCCAGTATCCCTCCACCACAGCCAAATTGTGTCTCAGAGCCTGGTGTAACTTATAGTGACCAACGAGGTGGCCATAGGAAGATAACAGAAATTAAAAATGAAGTCATCAAAAATGAAAGTGAAGGTGCAGTTGAGAAAACAGAGAAAGGCAGTAGCCAAATGCAACAAGATGGAGAAATCAATACACAAAATGGTCAGGACAAAGAAAATAGGTTATACACTGCATCCAGATTACACAATAATGAGAGGGAAGAAAAGCACACATCTGAGGAACAGCAGAGTGCCAGTAGTGTTGGTGTGATTGTTTCAGCTCGGTCTGAGGGAAGTCACACTGAAAAAAGCAAGCATCCCCAAGACAACTGTATAGAAGAGAAACAGTCGCACTCTTACTTAAGAGAGTCAAGCAGTCATAATGGGGAGGAAGGTGTAGATCTGAGCCTGTATTCCTCCCTTCACCAGAAATCAAATTTCGGACGGCCTCAAAATCCTCCCCAGTCTGGACCACATAAATATGGCCACCCAGAATCAACATATGGCTCAGATTTGTCAATGAAGAGCAGAGGAAGGGCTGGCTCAGCGGGTGTAATGGAGTCAAATTCCAGATACTTGGGGTACCAACAATCGCAAACTGGCTTTGGCCCTGTGCATCCAAAAGATGCTGTTTCTGTAGCAGAGGCTTTGGTGAAGAGAGGACAAGGAACAGGAGCTAAAGGTCATGAGGATAATTCACAAATGCAGCAATTTCCCAGCCTTTTACAAGAGGTTCTTCAAGGTTACAATTTAGATAGACGTTATGGAAGACCAGAACAAGCATTTCCGGCCCATCTCCAAGTTCAACAACAGTTTCAAACCAGACACCCGTATGTCATGACTGAAAGTATGAGGGTGCAAAGTGGAATAACTGAGGCTTCAGCTCATTCTGCCCAAATGGGTATCTCTGGAAAGCCCCCACATCCAAACCAGAGGCCTGATTTTACTACAGATCCTCAGTCATCAGTGAAGTCAGAAGTGCCAAGTACTAAGACCCTGCAAAATGCTGACAAAACTGAAGTGGGTGTGACCCAGAGTCATTTACCACAGGCTACAGAGTCTCAGCAGCCCCCACCAAAACACATAAACTTAGCAGACTATTCCCTACCACAGAGAAAAGCGTTATCTAATGTATCCACTCCATCCTCTGCTGTGCAGGAGCTCCTTTTGCAAGAGCCAGAGCCACTATCAGGCAGCATTGGTCAAACTGAGTCTCAAAAATCATCAGGCTGCATATTAGCCCCATCAGAGCGGCGCTCTGTCATCTGTGATGTGTCGCCAAACCGACGCAGCACACCAGAGAGGGACAGGGAACGTGACAGAGAGAGAGAGCGGGAGAAAAGTCAGAGTGGAGCCTCTGTGATTCAACAGCCATTTTCCTCTCCAGCAGCAGCCAATGATCTGAGTAAAAGGGATACTGGAGAGAAACAAGTGGTGAAAATGGAAACAGCATCAAAAGAGGCTGGCCCAGACGCTGCAAATTTACAAACTGATCATCACGGCAGTGGTGGAGCTAATGAGGCTGATATGGAGTATCATTCCAAGTCTGTTCACCCAGTTGTAATGAATGCTGACCCCTATAGGCGAGGTAATGTTGAAATTACACCCTTGCCATCCCATCCTATGAGCACTAATCCTTTATCTTCACCTTCAAGGCATCAGTCCTATCTTCATGGTGTTGATTTATCAACTGGCGGTGGCAGCAGTTTTCCTGGATATCGATATGGAGATACAAGAGAAAGCAGCATGATGCCTCGCAGTAACCCCCATTTTCCATCCCATCATCCATACCACAGTTTATCCCCCCAGACTCAATCCACAAATAAGCTTCAAATGTATCCTCACCCTCGTGGCCCCCCTCATCACCCCCATGACATGACTGACTGGGTAAAAGCAATGAACAGGCCAGCAAAGGAGATGATGATGCAGCCTGGTTCTTCTCCAGGAAGACATAAGGTCAGCCAATCAGAACAGAGACAGAGGATGATCCCCCAAACTGACATGCCCGGTGAGCCACACGCAACCAAAACTTCACTCCATCATCAAAGCACATACTTTGATTTGAAAATGTGGGAGTCAACACACTCTGGACGAGACAGCGCTAGAATGATAGAAGGAGAGCCCTACTACAGAACACAACCACCTCCCCCTCCTCCTCCTCCCCCTCCTCCTGTTCCTGTAGCTTCACACGGCCCTGTTCCTCCACAGATGACTCATGGCCAGAATGCTGGTGAACCTGAGGTCTTCAGAGGAGCCACAGAGGAAGCCAAACATCCCGTCCCACCCCCTCCATCCAGCTCCACTAAGTCCTCTGCTGACATGAACTCCACTCAGCCACAGGTGCAGCGCCAGACTAAAGCTGGGGGTTCTGGAGACACAAATCCACTAATATTGCGAAGGAGAGTTCGTTCTTTTATCTCTCCTATTCCCGCCAAAAGGCAACTCCAGGATGCGGCTCAGCAGAGGGCTGCCACAAATTCACATCACTCCCCTGGGGCTCAGTCTGAGTCTAGCCATCACAATGAAGATGACTCATCCAGTTCAGATATCCCATGTCCCAGGCTCTCTTCCCCTCTGCTCGGAGAGAATACCTATTCACAACCGCTATCTCCATCCAGTGGTACCACCAAGGTTTTGCCTCCCAGGAAAGGACGGGGTTTGAAACTGGAGGCAATAGTGCAGAAAATCACCCCAAATATTAAAAAGCCAGCAGGCCATGCTGATGATGAGTCAAATCATTACCCAGGCTTCTCTCACTCAGAAATACCACCGTTTAATGATTCACAGGACCAAGACTTAGCACATTTCCCTAGGGTCACAGGAGGGGATGATAGTTACATGGATGAAAGTCACTCATTAAACGACATGATTCCGTTCAGAGTAGTTGATGAGACTGGGCCTCTACCTCCGTCTGCCTACCCATGTGATCCTCACCAGACATCCCAAGCCCTAAAACAACAAGACTTTGACTTTGGATTGGGAGCCGCTGTGGCATCAGCATCCGGTGACAAGGAGGATTTCGCTTTGCTTGGACCTTTACCCCCTCCTCCACCCCTTCCTCGCCCAGTCCAGGGTTCCCCACCTCCATCTTCATCTGCCCTGTCAGACATTCAGCATTTCACCAACACTTACCAGCAACTTGAGACAAGAAGAGGAGAGCAGTCAGCTGCTAATCTTCTTCGACAGAAACTTCAAGAATCTGGCATTGGATTTGATGATTATCCTGGCAGTGACTACTATGGAACCACTCCACCCCACCATAGCCAGGCTCAAGGACACATGCTGAATAGACAACATCAGATGTCCTCTGGTAGGTCCAGTCTGTCGCCACAGGATTCTAAGCCACCAGAGAGTGTCGTGCCTAAAGGCTATTTCCCATCTGGAAAGAAGAAGGGCAGGCCTGTAGGGAGCGTGAACAAACAAAAACGGGCCCAGAACCCAGCCCAAACACAGGCACAGGGCCAGCCTCAAGCCCAGGCACAGAGCACAACTCTGAGTGCTCCTCCAGCCCCACCCACTCCAACTACAGCTGCTGCCACAACTCTGCCGACAGTGCAGACTACCAGCAGCCCACCAGAGACTGTAGCACCGCCTCTGCCAGACGATAAAGTCACTCCCCCGCTGGCCCCACCCATTTTAACCCAGGTAGTGAAAGTGGATATTGAGAGTGAGGACACACAGCCGGAAATTGAGGTCAAACCCGTGCGAAGAAGACGCAGAGGTGTGAAAGATGAAGATGAGCCACTCGAAGCAAGGGGACGACAGAGGAGGAGAAGGAGAGGAGCAGCAGCAACGTCACCATCGGTGGCCAAAGATGACCCAGATATACCTTTGGGGGCAGGAGGGAGCCTCGGCACAAATAGAGTATTTGTGGATCCAAACCGAAAGGGCCCGTTTGTTCCACACATACATGTGGAGAACAAAATACCAGAGATTGGGGCAGTGTGCACCATTGTAAATGCTGAGGAGGACAAGATGAAAGGAGAGCGTAGTGCAGTTGGAGGGAAAGCAAGCGGGAGTGGAATTGATTCTCTCCTGACCTCAGCTCTTTCTTCCCAGTTATCTAGAAGAGAGAGAGAATCAGAGAAAAGGGAGTCAGACGAGGTGGAAACTACACTTCAGTCGGGAAAAGCACTTCCTTCATCTGGCTATGTTGTTGCAGGGCCCGTGATTACAGAGACCAATCACTCTGGCCGCCTGCTTTGCTGCCTGTGTCAGAAATGGGCAAATTACAAACACCTTGGAGATCTCTATGGGCCTTTCTATCCAGCTGAATACGCTGCAAAGCTCCCCAAAAACCAGCCCCAGATCAGACAGTGTCAAGCAACCACAGGCACAAACAAAACCGGACCAAATTCAGACGTAAGCTCAAATGCTTTGAGCACTACCCAAGACACACAAACACAAGATGCTGAATTCACCAAGCCCTCAGCTGAGAGCGACTATGCCATCAGTCTAGATTCAAACCCAACATCTCTTACCACTACAGTCAGAACTGCCTCCATAGCTGGTAGAGAGGAAGTGACGATGCACGTGGCTGACAAGCTCAGTAACACTGCCTCCTCCTCCTCCTCCCCCACCACCAGTAAAACAACATCTCTAACCTGGGACATGAATCTAGATATCCGACCCATCCCTGAGCTTAAGAGAGAGCCAGACCTTGAGATCGACAGGCAGCAGGCGCAAAAACAGCCTCAGCCGCCACCAGAGGAAGCTCTACAACGACCCCCACACAGAAAGCTGACCTCGCATCCACGCTTTAAAAGGAGGCACAAATCTAGCGAGGATTCCCCCAGAATGGTGCCATCCAACAGCAAGGCCTCCCTGCCCTTCCAGCCCCCTCCGCCGGCCTTGGACTCCCTGGGACCTTTGGCACAACTCGCCCAGCTGCCTCAGATGCCCATGGACCCAGAGGAGCTGTGGGTCCACGAAGGATGTATAGTGTGGACCAGTGGAGTGTACCTTGTCAATGGGAGACTGTATGGCCTGCAGGAGGCACTAGATGGCGCCAGAGAAACAGTGAGTGTCCTCTGTTTATTCGACCTGTTTTGTTTTGGGATGTTTCAGGTTCATAACTTACTGCTGGTGTTGACTGTTTGAAAGGCAGTTTTTGAATTCACGTGTTAGCTAATAAACAGACAGGTCAGTGGTTCATGTGTTATGTTATATGTTCTGGTATATATTCTGAATAACAAATGCTCTGCACTGTATTATTAATAGTGTTTATTGATCTCTGTCATTTTGCTAGGCTCTTAGCTGTTCTTTACTGTCCAGTACAGCTTTAAGATGTATTGATTTCTTTTTTGCCATTCTGTCTGTCTCTGCATAGAGCTGCTCATACTGTGAGATGGTTGGCTCAACCCTGGGCTGCTACAGTAAAGGCTGTACACTTCGCTACCACTACCTGTGTGCTATTGAAGCAGGTGAGTAGATGCATTAAATACAGACACTGTTAAAAGTGAGTTCATGTAAAATAGTGTTTTCCAAGAATGGATATTTGTGCCTAGGCTACTGTAAACACAAATGTTGCTTTTTATTGTGAGAGCTCTGCGTGGCAATATCTGCACTGTACTGGTATTTTCTGATTTTTCCAGATTGCTCTTTGAACGAAGATAACTACTCCCTGCGGTGTCCGAAGCACAAGGTAAAGAAGGAGAGGTTGGTTTTTCCTACCGTTTCTAGGGAAATTTCGCTTTGTGTGACGTTTGCCACTGTAGTTTTGCGCCACCCAATCACTGATTGAGCCACTACGCTTCATTTCTTTCAATCTCTCCCTCTAAACCCACCAATGTTCTCTCTTTCTCCCTTTTACATGTCCTTGTCCCTTCTTCGCTCAGTTTACCCAGAGCATCCGGCCAGCCAAGTCAGTTTACCTGGAGCAGTCAGAGAGAGGCTGAGAGAAATGGAGAAGAAGAAGATACGCAGGAGTCTGGAGGCTGTAAGTTTAGACTCAGTTGTGTGTGTTTGTGTACCTGTATGTGTATGTGTGTGTGTGTGTGTGTGTGCTCAGCATGTGCCATAGACAGAACAATCAGCGTGTTCTCATTTGTTTATACACAAATATCTTTATTACGATCATTTCTTCCTTTCACAAATTGGAAAGTAAATGCTTTTTCAAAGACAACTACCCTAGTTGGAAATTGCTTATAATGCAATGCAGTTCTGCAGCCAACTCTCTAGTGTAAAAAAACCCCCCACTAAACCTCCCAACGGGTTCGATCACCACAAATACGTTTCCGTCTGGGAAACAGTTTTTTCATTATTCGGTGGGAGGCTGGATTCTCATTAATGGACCTCCAGTAAATGGACACTAATTCGTTGCCTCAGGGCTGTTTGTACCGTTTCTATTCAGACAATTTAATTCCACGCAGCAGCCCTACTCCATACTCTTTGTTGGCTGGTTCTTGGACTCCTGCTGAGGAAAATCATCCTGCTCTCACACTCCTCTTAACCTCACCTTAGTGGCTGTACTCCTGCCTGTCACTGGCTTTCACTACCTCCCCCTCACTTCCAATCCATTCTGTCCTCATGGAAACTAAAGACTTGGCACATCATATCTCTCCTTTTCTTTCTCTTTAAGTAAGGTTACAGCTTAATGCTGATGGTATGCCAAGGATTTTGCAACCTTATCTCCTAATGCCATCATGTTTTGCGCAATTCTATTCCTGACTATAACCAATCAGTTTACCAGGTAACAGCTGTGTTTGGTTTCCATTGAATTAGAAACCAATGATGAATTTGGGTGCATGCCTCAACTTGGGTTTACACATTTAAACCATGTGTAGTTTGTCAGTAAGTCAGAGTAGACTGTGATTATTAGTCCAATTCAGGAGACTTCTCACAGAGGTTGTCTCCCTTTAAATAATAATAAAACTATGTGTGAAAGCAGTTTATTCTTTGTATTAAAATGCAAGACCCTTGGTGAAGATGCTAACCTAAATTTTTTGTGTTCCCTTCCCTAGGTTAGTTTGGACAATAGAAGAAGACTGGTTTGTGAAGCAGCCCCAAATGTGAAAGGACAGGACTGGCATCTGTGACAGAGAACAACAAAAGGGAATGTACAATTTCTCCACAGGAATCAGCATTATTTACATTTAAAACAATGGAGAAAAGAAACTTTTTTTGTAAGAGAAATATTGCTCTTTACTTAAAAGCAGAAAAAGAAAAAAACATGGACATGCAACATAGAGGAATGGAGCTACCAGTAAAAAAAAACTACAAAAAAACAAAAACAAAGATTGAAGCTGAATAAAATGAGACGTCAAGACTGATGGAGGAGCTAAAGGAGCTTTTCTGTAAAGAACAAAAGAAACAAACTTCCTCTCTAGGCTTACTTTGATTTTCCTCACACAACCTCAAAGTGTTAAACTCTTGTTTATCATCAGTTACCTTTTTTTTCCTGGTTTTCTTTTGATTGCTTTGGAGAGGCGTATTGGGAGCAAGTTGGGTGTCAAACCCAGTAAAGAAAAGGAGAGAATATTGTATCCTCTCACAAGTAGTATCTTATCTTATATTAGGATGATCACAATTATTATTTTAGTCCTCATTATTATTTTGTATCCTCATTATTTACTCATGAAAATGAAATGGATGTATCTCACTTTATATTCAGTCAACACATGAATTGGATTTTTTATTTTATTTTTTTTTCATTCCTGGAGAGGGAGGAGCCAGAGTGATGTCTGGAATGTCAGGGTTGAGTTTGCCACAAAGACATTATTGCCTTGGAGAACGGACATCTGTTGCCTTTCAAAAGTCACGTGTATGAATGTGAAGTGAGTGTGTGTGTGTGAGAAACTGAAAAATGCCGATATCTGGGTCTTTGATTCCATTTTGGTCCTTTTGAAAAGTGTTCTTATTTTTCATCACTGGGGTTTTTACGGTACAGATAGTATTCATGAAAAATCCGATGGACGCAGTCTTATTTTTCAACTACAAAATGTTCGTAATGTGCAAAGAGAAGGACAGAGCGAGAGGAGGAGATAACACTATGAACCAATGCGTGTCTGCCATCTTTAACCGCTCTGATTGGGGAAAAGATGATGGACAGGACACTGAAGCGTTTTCATTGGTGTGGAACTGTGTACTGGGTGCACAAGTGCGTATGTTCTACATAGGAAGCCCTGTTTTGACTGACAGGTGTCAGTCCCTCGGATGGTGATGGAACATTTTTGGAGCTGAGAACTTTGGAGAGGGTGTCATATGAAGGCTGTGATGGGCCAATAGTGCTGGCGAACGGGGAGTAAGCCTTACCAAGTATTTTTGAATGGTTTCATTTTTCAGTGATACAGCAGCGATTTGATCGGAAGATGCAAAACCCATTCAAAAGAAGCATTGCCATAAAATTTAAAAGTGAGTCGTACATGGTGTTGTCTTTATCATTTTTTATTGTTATTCTTGTAAAAAAAAAAAAGTCAAGCTGAGAAGAAGACAGTTACACTATCAAAACCATGCTGTATTAGAAACCTGTCAATATGTATATGAATTATGAATACACTTTAAAAATGCTTCAATTATTCTCCTCTTCTTATTTCTGAAACATATTTTTGTCATTTTTGCTACACTGATAAAAACCACCTGTTTTTTTGCCCCAATTTCTTTTCCACTTTTACCAAACTCTGCCTCCCTCTCTCTTCTTTTGTGTGCATTCTCACATAAGCTATCTCCATCTCTATATCTGTCAAATACACACACCCTCGCTTCCTCTATCCCTTGTCTCTTCTTCCTGTCTCTTCAGTTTGAGGGGAGTGCATAACCACATTCTGACTCTTTCAGGCTGTGTTTAGAAGACAGGTTATGAATGCACTCTTTCGAGTCTAGAAACTGTTGTACCAGGTCAAGGATTCTGTGTTTCTGTCAGAGTAAAAAAAAAAAGAACCAGTGTCGCACTGAAGAATTTGACTTGAAGAAACTAGAGCAGCTTCAATGTAGAAATAGAATCTGAAAAACAAAATGTCAGATTTAGCTTAGCTAAAAGTTCAAATGAATGTTAAAATGCAACCAGGATGGAGTCATGAAAGATGATATTCTCAAAATGTTCACTATCATAGTGGCATTTATATAATGGGGTGCATTAGCTCAGGTTTTTCTTAGCTAAAAGTAATGGATGAATGGTTGAAATTGTTAAGTGTGTATGGCTAAATGGTTGAAAATACATATATAAGCAATAGATTATGTTGAAATAGCTACAAGTAATGGATAAATGGGAAAACTGCTAAAATTATTGCTGAAATACCTAAAAGCAATCCATTAATTGAAATTATTAGCTTCAAGTAACATTAATGGAAAAGCAGTTGAAATTGCAATTAAAGTATAAATAAATGGTCAAAATAGATAACTATAGCAAAAAGGAATGGGTTTTGGTGGAAATGTTAGCTAAAAGTAATGAGAAATGGCGAAACACCTTAAAGTAATGCATAAACAGTTAAAAAAGTAAAAGCAGTTGAGATTGCTAAAAGTATAAATGGTGAAAATAGATAACTAGCTAAACTAAAAGTAACGGTTAATAGTTGAAATAGATTGATAAGAATAATAGATAATATTGAAAAAAATTGAAATACTGTAGCTGTAAGTATATATAGTATATATGGTCAAAATAGATAGCTAAAGGTAATAGATAAATTGGAAAATTGGTGAAACACAGAAGTTATGCATAAATACTTTAAATAGTGGGCTAAAAGTAATGGATAAATGGTTGACACGTTCATGGTTCTTGGTTGTTACTTACAGTGGTAGTCGTATTAAGGCAGTTCAGTAGTATGAAAACATTATTGTAACATACAATTATATATCATTAACAGTGTTAAATAACATCTTTTTTAAAAGAGACACATTATCCTCTCGCAACAACATAAAACCTTTGCATTGGAGTTACTGCGGCTAACCCGCTATTGTGGAGTCAAATAGTTGTCACTGAAAATTGGTCTACAGATTTGGTACTGCAAAGCAATATTGTCCATGTAATAGTGTGTGTCTGACATATTTATTCACCATTTCAAGGTCATGTTGATTTTTATATCCAAACGGTGAGTGCTCCATGCTTTCCCTGGCTGAAAGGCATTGGAAGAGGGGGGCAGATAAGAGGAAAGGTGAAAGAAATAGATCAAAATGAGTCTAGAAATCAAAATGAAAACAGATGGAACAGAGTTGTCTCTTTTGGATTTATACGGATGGATTAAAGAGAGGAGTGTGTGTTTGTGTGTGTGTATGTGTGCGTGCATGCGTGGCTGTGTGATACGCTCACAGTTGTGTCTGACCGCTGGGTCCGGATCATAAAGACTGACAGTCACTCTGCTCACAGAGGTCAGTGTGACGGCCAAAATCCTCCATCACTCTCTATCTGATGAAGAGTGAAAGGGAGCACAGACGGCTGGAAGAGCAGGGCCGGATGTTTCTTTCACCTTTCATACTTAACTCGATGAAGGAACTGAGGACAAAGTACGAAGTAAGAGAGGCTGAAGGAGGTGAGTGCTTTCCTCCCCCCCTTCGTTCAAATTTAATTCACTGCTTGACGTCAAGTGCTCAGAGGTATTGGTTTGAGCATCTGTCTCCTGGAGAGGTTCCATGGTGACAGCAATTTTCCTCTATTTTTCTCTGATTTAGCTGTCTGTCTTCCCACCAATTACCAGTGGTGTGCTGATTTTCTGTCACAGTCTTTTTATTCTTTAAATGTGATTAGTCATGTAAAACCGACGGCTCCCCCGCACCTTCTCTTTCAAACACCTCACTAATCATCTCAGGCAATTGGGCAGAGCTGCTTCTCCTTAGAAACTAATAGCATTCTGGCGATATTTTTAGTGACACGCCAGAGTGGAGGTGTACCTAAAGTCAAGTGGATTAATAATGAAAAACTTGAGATACTCATTCCCTTGTCAGACATAAAACATACAGTACTGACATTTAATTCTCTTGTTTTTCAGTGAAGCAGTCCATATTGTCTCTTGAACATTGCTGTTAAAGAGTTTAAATATTTGACCATCTCTCCATATGCCTGTCTCCATCCCTACTATTCCTCCACCAGCACATTTAATCCCCTCATGATGGCGTTCCTGCAGCAGATCCGTTCCCCTCGCCTCTCCTTTATCCAGACGGTGCTTTCTCTCTTCCTGGGCGGCACGGCCCTCATGTCCTCCTACTGGTGCGAGGGGCAGCAGAAGGTGCCAAAGCCGCTTTGTACGCCCACCAAGCACAGCAACTGCATCCCTGTTCCCGGCGTCTCCAACTCCAACATCCAGTTCTCCTGGGAGACGGGGGACGACCGCTTTGTCTTCCCCACCTTTCATACTGGCCTGTTCCTGACCTGTGAGGAGAACATCTACACAGACGCATGGGGTGAGAGAGGAGGGAAGTAGGTAAAAATGTGATTTGGAATATTTAGAATATATTAATTTCTGTCAGGCTGTGTCTAAAAAGAGAAAATATGTGAAAATAAATTCCCCGTCCAGTCAGCTGAAAATAAAACTCCTCATGGATCACAAAGTAAGGTTCAAAAGCCAAAGATGCTCAGTTCCTTTCAAATGGAAAAAAACAACAGACGTGTCACTGGTGACCCTAAAAAGGATTAAACAGGTAGAAGAAATTAATAAATAAGAAAACAGAGGATTTGTACAAAGAGATCTATCCAGAAGCACTGACAGACCTCAGTAATACATGTAGCCACATTCACAGTAAACAATCAGCATCATTGTAAGGGATTTCATTAGCACGCCCCCTTTCATATGTGCTGATTGGGTTGCGTGTGTGGTAGAGGATATTCCCAAGGTGACATAAGGATCGGCACAGAAACAGGAAGTGAAACAAACTGCTCCACAACTGTGGCACTAGCACGACAGACAATGAAACGGGTCACAGGACGAGAGGAAAGCCAAGGTGATGGTTTGAATTGAGGCCTCAGGTGTGTTTATTTGTATGTGTGTACAGTGTGTGTTTGAGTGAGTGTGTGTGTGTTTGGGTATGTGCTCAGCCCAAAGAGGATTATCATCAGTGTGTGTTCCACTCACAGAGATTTAGACTTCAACAGCATGACTCAATTATGGATTAGAAACCCAGAGAGAGAAAGGTTAATAGGATTCACAAACATCGGCTGGGTTTTTACCGTCTCATTTGCAGCTGATTTGCAACTGATTTTAAGAATTGTGTTTGAATCGTACTGAAGTTCAGCCAAAAGTTTCAACCGACTTAATGCGGTCAGTTATATAAATCTGTTTGCATTTTGTAATTATTGTTTGGTAAGTAACGGCTGGCAGTGCTGAAAGCAAAACAACCAATCCTCCTAATCTGCTCCTAGTAGAGCTGTACATTTTAAATATTTTTATTTCTTTGTAAATATACATTTAATATACAATATGTTGTATGGTGTATTCAGTATGGTGGCCCTTAGAGCTCAATACACTGCAAAAACTGCAAAAGCAGATGAAGAAAACATTTTAACCAATTTGATAACACATGCACATTTAGACCAGCCCAATACAGGAACACACTGCAAAAACTTAAAACACAACCAAATACAACGCAATCAGACAAAGCACACGCAAATAAATAAAAGACTTGACATTGGTTGTGTTGTATCACTCACCAGTGTTTTACTCTAAAATACTGAGCATGTGTTGTCAAATTAGTAAGAAGGTTTTCTTCATTTCTTTATACTTTGTCTATTTGCGTCTGTTTTCTTAAGTCGCAGTGTGTTCAGCTTATGGGCCACTGTAATTTAGAGCCAAGTACGGTACTCTGATTATTGCAGCTGTCATGTAAACACATTGGTAAACAAGCCACAAGCTTAACCGACAGCAAAAACAGGTTCTATTTTTTATTTATTTTTTAGACGGCATTGCTAGCAGTGGAGGAAAAAAATAAGAACAAAAAGATTTTATGTTGAAATTAATAGGCAAAATAAAAAATTAGACATCACCAAAATGAAAACTACAGTACACTGACAAAGTCTCATTTTGTGCTGCTACTAGGAGTTTTCCCGTAAGCCCCATCCTGCCAGATTTATCCCAAACAAATCTTATAATCTCCTATCAGTTTACTCCCAACCTTATGCAAATTGTTACCTCAATCCGACCAATTTGACAGCACATGCACAGCATTTATAATAAAACACTGCAAAGAGAGAAAACACTACCAAACACAGAAACGCTGTGTTAAAACAGCACACCCAGACACAATGCAAACAGACAGATCGCCAGCAAATGAAGAAAACATTCTCAGCAACTTGACATTGGTCACAGTGTGTTGAGCTTATGGGTTACTGTAATTTCCAGCCAAATACGCTACTCTGATTATTGCAGCTGTCGTGTAAACACTTTGGTAAACAAGCCACAAAGAAGCTTAACCGGCTGCAGAATCAGGTTGTTTCTATTTTTCTTTTTTAACAGCATTGCAGGCGGTGGTGGAAAACACATTTTGGTGGTGACAACAAAAGAGTTTCATGTTGAAATTAAGATGATTATGATTGAAATGAAAAACAATACACACTGTCAAAGTGTCATATTGTGCTGTTATTGAGATTTTCATCTCCCAGATTTCCACCAAATACAACTTATAATGTAAACACTTTTTGTAAACCTCAGTGTGGTTATTCACGCAGTAATTAGATTGCAGTGTTCATTTAAATGTACAATATTCACTATACGCACTGGCTGGAGGATTTTTGAACTCTTGGAAATGGAGAAAAATGCTGATTATAGAGTGAAATATCACAGCTGTAATGGTTACTTTCACATGTCACCAGCTCAGGTGTCATTATTATTACTACATTTACGTTTGTCTTTTGATTTATAGAGGAGAAGTGTCGAGGGTTTTATACTTTGACTCCAGGATCTGAAAAAGGTAAATGGATTCATCACTTTCTCCTGCATTTATGCTGGCACTTGTTTGGCTAATTGTTTGAAATCCAAAACCTTCATCCGTCTTTGTGCTCAGCCTCTTCTCCTCTCTCCGCAGCAATGATGTGGCTGTCACTAACGCTGGAGCTCATGTACATTGGTCTGCTGTTAATCAGCTGCATGCTGCTGTCTGTGCAGTTGTGTATCAGGGCCTGGTTCCCTTCCACACAACGCTGGGGCCAGCTGCTCAACTCTTTTGCTGCTGTCTTCACAGTCCTGGGAGGTACAGCTATTTTTTTAGATAGATAGATCAGACTTTGGTAACAACATAGAATGACCAGTTTCATTCGTATTATTTAAAGAATTTGGTATATTTGCTTCTTTTGTCTTTGAAGGTCTGCTTGGGATGGTGGGCCACATGATGTTCATGCAGGTGTTTCAGACCACTGCCTCAATGGGACCAGAGGACTTCAAGCCTCACAGCTATGGCTACTCATGGGCATTCTAGTGAGTTCATTAAGCATACCATACACTACAATCACATACACATGTGACCCGATTGCAACTGCACGAACATGGTGTGCTAAGGGTTTTAGTTGTGCGTTTACTTCCTGTTGAGTCCTTGCCTGAATTGTGAGTTAGAACGATGCTTCCTGTGGCTCATCCGGGTCAGGCTCGCAGGGAGAGCAGAGCAGCTCTGACAAACTTCCCCACACTAAATTCCTTCAACTCGTTCAATCCATGTTTTTTGTTCTTTGTAGCATCAGCACAGTCCATTTAAAATCCCAATTTTACAACCACAGCTTCTGCAGAATTGTCGTGAATAAGCGACCATGCATGCCGAACAGCCCTGAAGGCATCATTCTGACATTCGACCGCTCAGCCTCTTTCTCCTACAGTTTTAGAGAGCTAATGATCGAATGAGCTGATGTTTGCCTTTTCATCACAAACGCTTATGTGTTTGGTGTTTGAACATGGACCGTCCATGTCTAATACAGAAGTTATCACTTTCAGATCCGGGGGACTGCTTCAGAAAAATATGTGGGACTGGCATCACAGCTTTTTGGGCCATAGTGACTCCCTCCATTATTGAGGAATACTTCTCTTCCTTCCTGCTTAGATTAGTGTTCCACATTTTTAATAATGGTATATTTATGTCTTTTAATTAAGTTGCAAGAAAGATTTCTCATACCATTCACCCATTTATTCAGACAGAAGTCCATCTCATGGTTCAGTTAATTAGAGGCTCTCTGCAAGAAACCAAAGCTTCCAAAATTGAGTTTATACCGTACTTAACAGTAAAAAACTACTGAATGGTATCTCTAGGTTTTATGAAATCCTGCTGGAGGGTCTACCAGCAAACATAGATACCGCTAGACAAAAGTGGAAAGAGACGTGGACATAATAAGGAAGGATTTTTTTCTGTTTGAAAATTCCGAAATGCTCTTATAATGTATAATGTCTTATAATGTAAGGCAGACACTCTCTGAACTTACAACCATACACAGAATATATCATACACCAGAGACGCTGCACAGGATGAACTGAAATGTTGTTGTGTTGCTGTAGAACAGCAGCTTCTTTCACATGTGTTGGTGTTGCAGTGTATTTGAGCCAATGTGGGACTCTGTAATAAATAATGTTTATTTTTGTCTTTACTTTTTGCACAAACAAATCAGATTCTTCTTTTAAAAAATTTAAATCATTATATCAGAAAAAGTTTTTTTTTAAGAAAATGTATAATCAGTTAAAATCTGCCCACATACAATATCTCACTGGCTAAATTAAATTACCAGTCATCCCACTTGACAAATGTGTGTTTTTATAGTGTGCTGTGCACTCACACAGGGATTGGGGAAGGACTGGTGGGAAGGGAGAGGTCTGTTTTTGCTTCTTGGAAAACTGGAAGTAAATCGTGCTCTTCCAGTTTTCCAGGTTGTTCTCTTAAGTCATCTAAAAGGACCCAGAACAGACTTTATCACACATATGTTCACACCCATGTTTGTGATTTCCTTCCTCTTCCTCTTCCTCTCTGTCTCCATCAGTGTGGCCTGGTTTGCCTTTACTGTCTGCATGTCTGCCGGTGTCTCCACTCTGAACAACTACACCAAGAAGGTCCTGATGGTGGGGCCCAGACGTAACTCCGGCCTCAACGCCTGCAGCTTTAACTTCGTGGGGCTCCTTCCTCCGGCTCCTTATTACACCCCTGCGAACCCAGCCATCACCCTGGCCTGTCCCCCATCTCCCCCCAGGATCTCTCACCTGTCTCCCTACTACGAGCCCCCGTCAGCAGCGTTACCGGCCCACACGCCGAGGCTCACGCACTCCCACTCCCTGCCTCTCCCCCACTCCGACTCCTTCCCTCCACCCCCTTCCCACCCTGCACCTGCATCCCCGTTCCACCGCCTCTCCCTGCCCTCTCCGTCTCCATTGCCCATCCCGCCCGTCCACATGACCCTCCCAGGATACCAGAACCGCTACGAGCCGGAGGAGGACTACAGCCCACTTTGAACTACTGTATATATCCAGACTGGAGTCTTTCTATGACTAGAGGACCTGTGCCTATCTTGGAGTTTAATGTTTGGTCTCGTCATGAGCTCTGAATTTACATGTTCTCATAAAGAAGGAAAGTGTAAATGCAGAGGACACCTGTTAATGACAACCAAACATGGTACAGAAACGCTTCGTGTACTGTATTAATCTTAAACATATACATCTTATTAACTTGCTTTGGCTAATGCACAAAACTGAAATAAATGTGATCACCAACATTTCACTGCTTTTTGTCTGAACATTGTTACCAAGTAGCCAATCTAACATAATTAAGCAAATGTACAATTAGTCTTTTACGCCTTATCATGACAAATGGAGAGGAAGCAAAAGATTATTTCAGTAATTGGTTGAAAATCAAGTTTTAATATTGTAAAAATCGTCATCTGTAATGAGAAATAACGGTAGCAAAAATAAAACAGCATTGGACACAAAGCATTATGAGAAACAAAACATATTTACACATAATATCTCAGCTTTTAGGAGTCGAGGCAGTCGCCTTTCTGTCACACTCGGAGGAAACAGAGCGAATTTGACATAGACTACAAAGTATATGACAGGTTGTGATGGTGTGTTACATTACCGGTATATGGTTGGATGTATAAGCTATTTGATTAGTTAAATCATATAAAATGGTAAGTTTCATACATACTAGATGAGTGTGACAGAAAATGTATTTCTCTGACTTCCTTTTTAAAAATATTTCAATATAAGAATGTAGTGTAAAAGTTTCTGGGCAGGCGGACGTTACAGTGTTGAGTACGTATATGATTTGGAATTGTACTTCTGCACTAAAACCAGTTTGTTGTCTTCCCTAATCAGAAATGATTACAAAAAAACTCAAATGTATTATATTATTGATTTACCACTTCATATTATTGCATAGTCGTATCATTAGATCACACGCACATCTACAACAGGTGACATATCAATGGATTCTTTTTAAAGACTTTGCCAAGTACTTTGAAAATCAGTGCCTTATGTTGTAGTTACACTCTGTTTTATTAGTGGCACATAAAGTAAGACCAGAGCAGATAAATGAAACGAAAATTGGTAACAATGAAGTAAAACAAAACAACATACTAAAACGATAAACTCGCCCCCTCATATCCATATGTAAATGTACATTACAACAAAAAAGACAGAATTTACTCTTCAAACTGCTTTTCTTATAAGCCACAAACATTGATAGATCTTAATTTATCATAGCATCTTATACGCATTAAGGCACATTTTGTTAAGTTAACAACAAAAACATTCTTAATCTTTAGATGCCCTCAAGAAATCCAGCCCAAACTCTGGGTTGAAAATGCACTCAAATACAAGTGTGATTGATTGAGCATGCCTTTTACTGCAGAAATATCCAAAACACCTGACAGCAGACTCAATTAAACACTAGTATGTATTTGAGAGGACCAACAGGTCTGCTATATCTGTAGCTGAATATAACCTAGCAGCTCAAATCTGATGTCCTAAACAGGCAAATATAAACACCAACCCATCCGTGACTAAAACCAGATTTCAGCTGAAAGAGTAGATCCAGCCAAAAGGTTTTGGGCTGGTCGGAGATAGCTCTAGTGTCTTTCTCACGCAGTCTTCTTGCGTAGCACAAAGTAAATGATGGAGGAGATGAACGTGAGGGCGAAGGAGATCCACGCCAGGATGTAGCAGTGACCGTACTGACCAGTGCTCTCATCCAGGTGGAAGCGGTCTGTGTAGATGGAGGCTGCGATCATGATGCACAGGCCTGGAGCGAAGGAGACAATGGACATCAGTGAGTGAGGGCAGAAAGAGGGAAATGCAGAGAGAGAGAGAGAGAGAGAGAGAGAAAATCAGACAGAAGAAATAAAAAAAATACTCACAAGCAAGGAGCTGGAAGATGCCAGAGATGGTGAACCTCTGTCCTTTGCTGAGGGTGAAGAGCTGAGCCACGAACACAAAGATGCCCAGGATGGAGAATATACAAGCTAGGACTGAGCTGGCCTGCACTGCCTGGAGGTAATCTGTAGGGGGAGGCAGAGAGAGGGCAACACAATGAACATATGGGTATATATGTGATAAAGGTGAATCCTAAATATGTGCTAAACATCCTACAGACACACCCAGGAAACAGTAATGTTACAGTGAAACTGTGGTTTTGACAAATCTGGTTCAAACAAGTATTTTAGGATTTTAAAACATGCCGATTATGCTGCCATGTAAACACAAACAGTAGCTAGGCAACTGTACGTTACAAGCTCCCCCTTGTGTTTTTCCACCCTCCTTTCTGTCCTCTTTACTACCTCTCAGGTGCTCCTCATTGGGGATGATCAATTGGTGGCCCTGCCCCCATATTTAAAGGAGGCTCGAGGAGCATGCGCTCTCTCTCTCTCACACAAAGCAGCCTGCTGATCCCATCAGTTAGCATCTTTTGTGTCTCATTCTTTGAGAATAGAGGTGTGGTAGTGCAGCTTTTGGTTCTTTGTTATAATGTTTGTGGGAGTTCAGGTGGGGAAGCTCTGAGTCCAACAGCCCAAAGCGTGGCTGGCCCAGACTTCCTCTGTCCTTTTGTTCTTTTTGGCCAGACCTCCAGACTCCCATAGTTTCTCTTAATTAACGACAAGTCGTTACCTTTACTTTTTCTACACAATTGTAGCTTCACTGTGAAAAAATATTTTGGATAACCACAGACTTACTGTGTGTCTTTAAATGATTTACATGAAAATGTTGAAATAGCACTATAAAGTGAGATTGCTGCCACATGTTTGCGTAAGATAACGCTTCCTTTTCATATAACTAGCTTTGTATTTAATGTGTATCATACATCAGTTCAGTAATAAATTGAGCTATCAGCAGAAAGGCTTGTTTGATGTAAGTCCTTAAAGGCCCTGAAAACCAGTTTTCTCAATCAGCTATTTCACAAGTGATTTCTTTATCTCATTGGTATGAAGGGGGCAGGGCTACGCTGGAAAAAGTGTGATTTCACGTTGTGTGCACCAATCAGGATTTAGCGACATTTGAATCAGAATCTGATGACATTTGGTTACAGTCAATCTAACCTTATAAAACCACATGTGGGTATGTGGTTTTTGCCCTGATGAAGAAGACACAAGTTTTTGAGTGTGAATATTTATTGTTTTAGACAAATACTTTGAATTAGAAGCCGGGTTTTCAGGGACTTTGATGAATTATAACATAAAGGCAGTGCAAGGAATGCTCAGTTATAGCATGTAGTAACATTTTTGTTTTATTGAGAAGTAAATATGGGTGTTAAAGTGTTGTATGTATGGAAACAAGTTGTCCTCACTCGCTTATTTGCAGCATTTGTGGTGTGTGTGTTTGTGTGTGTGTGTGTGTCTGTGTGGCTTACCCTGTGGGTAGTGTGAGCCTGTGGGAAGATCGGTGTAGTTCCACACTCCGTTCATCTTTATCCACCGAGCCCACACATCAGTGGCCATGTCGTCAGTCACCCACCAGGCCTGAAAAGAAAATTTCAGTTGAAATCATGTTGCGACTTTGTGGCAGCACTTGCATAAACATGGACGACCTTCCTGCATGTTATCGGAAAATGAATGAATCCATACTAAAAGGAGGGAGAATCCAAAACAGCAGTAAGGGTAAACATCATTTGAGTGTGTTCACACTGTGTTCTGACATGTACTTTGGGGCAGCTGCAGGCAAAGGGATGACAATCAGAGGAGAGGAACACACATCCGCCTGTCACTTCAGCATTCAGCAGGTCTCACTCCGGTATGTAACACTCAATAAATCTCACATATTTACATGTGTGTGTGCGCTGTATGCCTGACACCTTTAAATGCACACACACAGATGCACTGAGTGACACCGGGTGACGACATTGCGGCCGGCCCATCTATCAGCCAGATATGTCAAATATGTGGCCCTGAGAGGAACAGGGGACCACTGACAGAGAAAGGAATGAAGGCCTTAGCGATGAAGGAAAGGTGAGCAGCCAATCACTCATCAGGCTTGACTCTTGCTGTCTGTCAGCATGTGAGGAGATGCACATAGCACTGCCATTGTAACGCTCAAACTGGAGAGGAAGTTAGAGATTATAATGTGGCAATTATGTGTGTGTGTGTGTGTGGGTAGGTGGAAATAAATAAAATAAAATAAATAAAATAAAATACTGCTAAATTGATTTACTTACATTGTCAATGGTGGCCACCAGGAGGAGGATGATGCCAATGATGTGAACGGCAAAGATTGCACCGAGGAGAATCAGCATGATGACTGTGCTGGAGAGAGAGAGAGAGAGAGAGACACACAAGAGGAAACTTGTTACACCACTTTCCACCCTTTATTATGCAGGGTGAATATAACTGGAGGGCTTACTCATAAAAGACACACACAACAGACTAGCAGCTAATATGAGCTGAAAGAATCAAATATGGCTTTAACAAAGGCTCCGCACTTCCTGCCTGGTTTCAGAAAGGCAGTCATTAAATGACAGCTCCAAACGTGCGCGCGCGCACACACACACACACACACATACACACGCATTCAGAGCTGCATAGGAAGGCCAAAACCTGGCACCCACTCAGGGCGTGGCTTCACAACTTCTAATTACTTTGAGTTACAGCTAACACACTCACAGTGAAACGCCTGCGAATAGACAGTAAGATCATATTCCTATCAAGAATCAGAGAGGTGTTGCCGTGTATTTGTGTAGACAGAGGTCAGTAAACAAAATCACTAGTTGCCTGGGCAAACAGATACTGTTGGTAAAGAGAGAGTGTTGTGGAGGGAAGTTCATTGCAGATGAGTTTGGGCTTGTCTTGTGCTTCCAACAAACCCGCCTTAAAATAACTGTTGAGAATACCTGCTATCTCCCCACCTAGTTGGCCCACACCCAACTCTGCTTGATTTGAATTATTAGACATTATCACACTCAATGTAGCCCATAAAACGTATTTAGAACTAATTAAAAAACTGTTGCGTAGGCCTATTTAGTGTAACTGCACTCAACCTACTTCAGTGGCCCCTCTAACAGGTGGCTCGGCCCGGAGATGTCACTAATTGGATCTTAGTTTTTTGTCCCACGCTCTCTCTCTCTTGTGTGTTAAACTATCTGTGCCTGTACCCAGTGTGGAGGCTGCACTGGGTGTGAACAGAGGAAGAGGCACATCTGGAATGTGCTGGTTCTCTTCACGGTAAAGGAGTGGTCAAGGGCTGGGTCCACACACACACACACACACACAAACACACTCTCATGCAACCGCACGCTTATATAGACACAGAGCACCGGGGGCACGCTGATACACATGTGATCATGCCTGACACATCTCTGCCAATACTCCTCACCTTTCATCAGCTTCAAGCAGCCACAGTGAACTGAAAAGTTGAGTGTTTAAAATACTTGTATAATTCCTCCCTGAAGCGTTAAGAGCTCACATACGGACATGCTCTTTCTGAGTTGTCTTCTGCCAGATGAGCCAACTTTAATGAACAACTTCTGGGCAGAAACAATAACAAGTGAATTTAACAGCAGTTGGATGCTTTAACTAAAAACACGCTTGTGGAATACTTTGATCAAATCTTTTCCAAACTTTTGCCTGAAAACAAGACGTGTCAACTATTGATGCTGGGATTTTAAGATCTGGCCTGGATCTGTGGCATTTTCCGTGACACAAAATGGAAAGCATGTGGCTGAGGTTAGATTTGAGAATGTTAAAAATCTAAATCAAGCAGGAAAGTAGGCATTTTTTTATATTATTTAACATTCAGACTTGTCTTTTGAGTAGAACTGCTGCAGGAACTGAGCACATCTGGAAAGCAGCCTCACCTGGCCAGTAATGAAGGACTGTAGTGTTAAATCACAAAGTTGCCTGTAATGGTGATCAGGTATATGGGAAGCACACACACACAAACTCACACCTGCCTTTACTCTATTCCTCATCATCATTTTATTTTCTTAAATAAAAATAGAAAAAACTGAAGCTGCATTACAACTCCTATACCACAGTTTTATCATTCTGAAACAGCTATGGAGAAGTAAGAAACACAAGATTCAAAAAGCATAAGAAGGATCTTTGACTTACTGTTTGATGGCTGTGTGTCTCTTCAAGTCTAATTCCTCCTGCTCTCGAGGACACTAATTTCAGACTAAGAGTCTAAATGCACAAACACTAGGAACTACCCGTCCGCCCACTTTTTCCCTGCCCTCTTTTAAGTCCACACCCCAGACAAGCCTCTCACTCACTTGATCGCATAATCTCAGCCCTCTTTTTTACGCCCTCCTACTCTCTTTGCTCTCTGTCCCACCCTCTCTCTGTCTGTTTTACACACCACTTGCAAAAAGCCTAAAACAGCCACTATTTCCACAACTTTTGTGGGCGTGGGATAGATATTCCTTCTGTGTTTGGGTGTCTCATGTCTTTGTCACTCAGCTGATGGTGGTGATTTTTCTGTTCAGGAGGGCAGCTGATGACTCACTGATGTTTGAGGGAGGAACTCCCACAACACTGGACATTATTGACAATGATTCTACGCATGCTGCCATGGCGACAGACTGCAGCCAGGCCTAATCACAGTCACATCGTTGCTGTTGTGTATATATAAACAAACATACTCAGGCATATAAACACACGCAGGCACAGCCGACAGTGTAGTGTTTCTTCCTGATCACCGCCCTCCGTCTTTTCCCGCTTTTGTTACAGAGGAAGGAGTTTCAGGATGAAGGAATGTTGTTGGTTGCGAGGAAGAAAGAGGTGGCGGCAAATGAGTGCAAGTCATAGCTTGAGTGAGAGAGAAGGAGGGAGTAAGAGGGAGGTAATGAGAACGGAGGGAGGAAGATGGAGAGAGACTTGAAGGCAGTAAGACAGGAATTTGGAGGCGGGGGGGGGGGGGCACCCGACACCGAGGAGGAGGCGCGTTGGTACAACATGGGTAGGGGTTGGAAACATTTCACACTGCTGCAAGTTCATTAATTATTACTCACCATCGTTGTTTCATAGTTGCTGGTGATTGATATGGTCCTAATGAGGCCAATGAGTCAGTGTCATCTGCCTCTTGAGCAGATCGCATGCATTAGTTTAGTTTGAGGGTGACGGTTTTACCAGCCCTAAGACTTTATCTCCTTATATCACATCACATAATAGCATAACACACAGTAACATTCCCTCATTCGTCACAGAGCTCATTCATTCCAAATTGTGTTTAAATTCCTGTGGCAAATCATTGGGGCAGAGTGTAAATGTCAGAGCTAACCATATCTAATAATTCAAAAGTTCCCCTTACAGTATGAGACACGCTAGAGGAGGAAGGTTTAAAAAAATTGTTGTCCAGAGAGAACTAGGCCAAAGAGTAGTGTCTTACATCAGGGTCAAATATGGCAGATTAAAAAAACGAATTCACAACACACTACGGCAAAAGCACACAAAAATAGTTAGTAACTTCACTTTACTTTACAAAGGGCTGGAGAGGGCTTTTTAGGACCAGGGGCGAGGGAGAAGAGCTTTTGATGACCTGTGCTCTATTAAAAGAGAAAGGGTTTAAGTACTTCAAGTTTTAGTTTTATGAGGTGATTTGATTTTAAAGCTGTTGTAAAAGTTTTGGGCAGGGACAACTGTTAAGAAAAGGCCATAAATAACAGGAAAACCTTTTGTTCAGTATTCAGCAATCATTCTTGACAAACTAGTAAAGGCAAAATTTCCTGAAGAGTGTGCTCACTGCTGAAAAATGGAAACCTTCCAGGGCAGCTGGACTCACAAGGTCACTGGACTATTGAGAATCCATCTTGTAATGCTTCAGGCTACGCGATACGCGACTGTGGCCGTACAGTCGTAGCGTCCTTTGAGGAAGCAATGGCAGCTATGAGGGTGGCCGCAAGGTGTGACGCAGCATGAAGACACCGTTCAACAACAATACATGTTAGCGTAGATGCTGTAGCATCAGTTATATCCTTTTCCGAACAGTTTACAGATGATGACTTCCCAGATTGTTCTGTTTAACAAACCACCTGCACAGTCAGGTTAACATAGGGACAACTAACAAACCAAACACTGGCAGTAGAGAGGGCCTTTCACATTTTTCGCGAGTTTTGCTGCCCCCATAGCTTCTCATACACACTTAACAGCCCGTTTTAATTCCCAGGCCGTCAAATACAGACACCAGCAGTGTTCAGTTAGTTGCAATCTGCAACTTCACCACTAGATTCCACCAAATCCTACACACCGGTCCTTTAAGTTAAAGTGGCGGACAAAAAAAAAAAAGAAATATGATGAAATGGTGGATAAAATGGGACAGTGGACAGAAGATGGAAATCGGTATAAGTGTATGAAGTGTTAAGTATTAAAGCTGAGATGCTGAGTATAATCACTGAAGGCAGAAATTGACATGTAAAAGATGAAAGCAGTTGAAATTTCATTTAACGACTAATTGCTAAAAGCAGTTAAGCCCCCGAGTGGGTGCTGGTTTAAAGTTTTAATGAAATTTCTAAGTGACTTAATTAATTTAATACATTTCAGATCTCTTTACTCTGACAAAGCAAAATAAATATTACTCTCAAGGTCACTCCCCCTATCCATGATCTTCAGGCTTCTTATTTGTTGAATACTATAAATATCTAGGAATCTGGCTGGATACTGGACTCTAACTGACTTTTGTATCGAAATAAATCATTGTTTTTCTCCTTTGGAAGACCATTTTACAATCTACAGATGAACCTCGGAAGAGAGCTGGTTTCAGATACTACGCGCCTCACAGATGGAATGAGCAGCAAGAAAGTAAAATCTCATTTCACTTTTTTAAAAGACTATACTCAAGTATTTGCAATTCCACTTGTCTGTGTGACTCTTCTGTGTCTGTCCATACTTAAAATGTGTTTTTTTTTCTTGTACCCAGGTCTCTCTTGAAAAATATGAGCTAGATATGTGTAAATAAAGGATTAAATAAAAACAATATTGAGAACATGGGTGGACATAAATACACTTAATAAAAGTCTGACAGGAAATTCAGATATACACAAGTAGATATAGACAGACAAAAATACTCTGGGTGCGGACTGGGAGACTGAGGTCGCTTGTTTGCTTCTGGTGAGCATAAAAATATGGCGATACACCAACAGAACAGAAGTCTGAGTCAAAGGCTCAGCAGTGTACCTGGTCAGTATCATGTCAGGCTGCCTCAGCCTCAGGTATGAGCCAGCAGGATAATAACAGGCTTCAAAAATAATTTACCTGCCAATACAGTGGCCTTGAAAGGCAGCAGAGACTGCCTGAGTTTATAGCAAGGCTACTTGTGTGGCTACATTCTGGTGGGATCATGAGGTTACTCACACACACGCACATGCACACATACATACAAATACACTATCTCCAAGGCAAATGAAACAAAGCCACTTCTCCTTTGTTGAAAGCTAAGCGGAATAGTGTGTTTTAATGTGGTTGTCATGGAAAAAAAACCTTTTTCATATGTAGAGAGAGGGACTCAGAAAGCTGGAATGCTAAACATAGCCAGCGCTGAAATGTTGAACTAAATGATGCCTCTGTCATGGCAACATTTCAGGTTTCTGCGCCTTATGCACATCCCTGATTTCCATGACAACATTATCAAACTCCATAGAAGCCAAAGTAAATGCAACACCTATTTCATCATAAAAGTCCATCCATTCATGTTTGACAGTGTGTATTTCAAACCACACCTTGATTGTACTACTTAACGTCATTGGTGTCCCTCCCAAATCCCCATGGGAAAGAATGTCAGTCCTTTGAAATTTTGCAATTCAGGTTTGGAATATAGTGGTCTAATCTCATCAAAATCTACACTACATCTGCTACATCGCACTAAAGATCTATCACCAACACAAACAGCTCCACCCGAGCTATTGGGCAACTCCCTCTCAGGCAAGGACGGTGCATGTGCTCATATCAGGACCTTTCCTATTTGACTTTAGATTTTTAAAAACAACATGGTAAATCCTTGACTACATCTTCTTGTGAGACACAATCTAAAGATAACATCAAGCGTAAAAAAAACAGAAGAGAGAGACAGACTGAGAAAAAGAGAGCAGTGAGAACGGAAAATGTGGCTGGACCTGATTCTGTTCTGGGCGTGTCAACCCTACCTTGCAGGTGAGGTAAGCCAGGTAGGTACTGTACCATACAGCTTGATACGGCACTCCCACACCCTAACATGAGAGTTATTGAGTAAAACCAGTAAACATGCCTGTGGAGCAAAAAATACTTTTTGCCACATCAGTTATGCAAGAATCAGGCCTTTTTTCAGTTCTGGGTATATTTTCGGGAGAGGAAATGCCATGAGTCATGCATCAGTCAGCTATCGTTTCACAGAGTAAAATCGTAGTGGGTGTTTGGCCACGCCACTGTCTACCGTTGTATGTATCAGGGGCGGAGCAGGAGCTTAGCCACAACACGTTTTTTTGGATCCAAACAGAAGTCAACAAATCACATGCCTGTGTAACTACTGAAGAAGACCAATGAGGTGGCTTGCTCAACAATCAACCCCTTTGTCATGCTGCCATTGCTGATCAGTACTGGAAAAACCAGAGCCATAAAAGATCTCTAAGAACAGTTGCGATATTGTCTGATCTGTCAAGGGTTGTGTGCACAGGTATTAACGTTGATTCCTTGAAATACTTTCTCAGGGTTGGCTTGTTCTGGGAGCTACTGTTAGTTGCAGTCCACAGTTTACTGCACACTGTGGGGTCATTAAAGAGCTGAATGCAAGCCTGAATCTGCTATTCAAAAATGACTGAAATACACTGAGCCTAACTGTGCTACACTTTGACATTTTACATTCTCAAAAATGAGTTATGTGGCCTGTCAAGAGGACAATTACTTACGTCTTCAACATGCACTCCTCCATCACAGATTACTTCGTTGCATCTTCTTTCTTAAAGCTGTGGCACTGAGTCTTGCATTTTTAATTACTGGTTGTTTGTAAAGTTGGCAACGCTGGATATTCGTCTCTTTGACACATGTTAAATTGGCCTGAAAAAGAGCATCAGCTAAATGCCAAAAATATAAATTAGATGTAAATAGATAAACCGGGCCTATACCAGGACAGATTGTTATATTTGCTTGAGTAATGTCAAAATCCCTTAATGAAGGTGTTTGTGAGGAGTCTCAGTGAGTATTTCAACATGACTCTGTGAAACAAAGCCAGCAGAGCGGTGCCAGCATGCCAGGGGAGTGAGCCTGGCCACAGCCAAGTCACTGCTGCTTTACACAATAGTA